GCTTGTGGGGGTCATGGGGTTTATGGGGGGACTGTGTGGGAGGGTAGGGCCCCCTGATCACCCCCTCCATGGTGCACAGCCACCCCCCACAGCAGCAGCAGCCAGCAATGGACCCTTGTTGCGCTCATGGCCCTCTGCAGAAAGAGCCCCTGGGCAGCAGGTAGTGGCACCTGAGACCTGGGGGCTACACATAGTGCACAGAGCCGGTGTGGCCCACAGGCACACACCTTCAAGCAGGACTGGGCCAGCTCCTGCTGCCACCTGGGGCTCCTGGCACTGCACACAGGAGCCGCTTGCCATCGGGCTGTGCATGTGGCAAGCACATGGATTCAGGAGCTGGACTGGCTTGATGGCATGCAACTACTGCTTCCAGTGCCAGGAGCCCTTGGTGATGGAGCTGGCCTGGTGCTGCCCAAAGGCAAATGCTAGTGGGCTAGACTGGCTCCATGAGCCATGTGTAGCCCCCAGGTCTTAGGCAGCACCATGCACTGCAAGGGGGTCTGCCTGCAGCAGGCCATGAGTACCCTGAGGGCCCACTTCTGGCTGCTGCAGTGGCGGGCTGTGTGCTCTGGGGGAAGGTGGCAGGGAACCCACCCATCTCACACAGTCCCCCTACCCACACATAGTCCCTACCACCCCCACTTCCCTGCTTACTGGGAACAGAACTTGGGTCCAAGCCACTACTGCCAGCCGTGCCTCGCTCCTATTTCTTCCATCACACTGAGGCAGTATGCTGAAGCAGCAGGGGCATGTGGCAGGCATAGAGACTCTCTGACCAGGTGCTAGAGTGTCTCTTTGGAGGACCCAGCCTCCAGCTGCTTTCCAGGAGCGCGCCCTGTGCAGCTTTTTTCTGGCATGTTTTGTTTTGATACTGGGATGTCTATATTAGTGCATGGCATAGACATCCCCCATCTCTGTTTTTTGCTCTCTCTGTCTCTCTCTTTCTTTTTCTCTCTTTATATGTATTTGTAGACCTCCAAAAACCAAATAGGCTTTATAGCATGCCCCGAGAATTGTCTGACTTCAGCTATTTTAAATCAAAATTAGGTATTAAATCTAAAATGAAGCATGCACTGAAAGGTTGCATCCCCATGAGCACACACTGGCAGTTTGTAGCACCGCAGACCTGTCTGTGGTGCTGTAAACCACATGCACCACACATGCAGGCATTCACCACGCTGCTAATTTGCAGTGTGGTGAGGTTTTTTGACCCCAGGAGATCTTGGTGTCAAAAAAACCCATGCCAGAAAAAAGTAGGACGGTGCATGTGGCAGCGATATGTATCACCTGAAACCAGAGCATGGCCAACCAGAGCCACGCTCAGGTTCTGGCCAGGCTCCGCGTGCCCAGATTGCTGCTTCTGGAGCCCCAGGAAGCCCCCAGGACCCCAGGTGAGGCTGCTGGTGTCAGCCCAGGTGCTGGGACCCACCCTCCCTTACCCCACCGAAAGTAACTTGCCTCATGCCAGATTGCGCATGCAGGGGTGTTCCCTGGGGACAACTATCAGTGGCACAAATATG